GAAATAATTTATTTTTGGTTTAATAATATAACATTTTATAAAGATAATAATTAAGTGTTCTGTTATAACTTAATGATTATCCTAATCATATTTTAGATTTTTTATATTTAAAATGAGATGTTTATCTTGTATTTGATTATGTTTATCTGCAGTTAGTTACACGAATTCAGATATGGAGCTTTAATAAGTTGTACTTGCGCACAATCTACTTGTAATCTTGAGTTCTAAGTAATATGCATTAATAAACAGTACTTTACGCATAAAAAGTGGTTTTTAAGAGTTTTTGTCAAATAGTATAGATTCATTTCAGTTTGCACTCTCTTGACATACTCTACCTTGACCAACCTTCTTTTTTGCAGCCTTTGTTCTATACGGGGTACTGGTGTTGGTAGCTGTTTTTGTACTTGTCTTGCACTATATCCCGTTATATGGTCAGACACACGTAATGTGCTACATTGGAGTTTGTTCGCTAGTGGGTTCTTTGTCGGTATGTGGCTTTATTTTCTTTCACAATTTATTCTCTTCACCAATGATAACTCCATTTATTGTGTTTCAATCCAAGGTTTTTTCTTTTGCAGGTCATGAGTGTGAAAGCTCTTAGCATTGCTTTGAAGCTTACTTTTTCAGGAACAAATCAACTGGTGTATCCTCAAACATGGGCTTTTACCGTCTGTGTTCTGCTTTGTGTCATTACTCAAATGAATTACTTGAATAAGGTAATAACTTCCCATTACTGTTCCACAACTTGTAATTTATTTCCAGTCGAGACTATATTAAACTAGCCTCTTGTCTAATGCTTTGTTACGTACTTGGAAGCCATCTGGAATAGACATACCAGTTTCTTGGTGTTGTATGTTGAACTTTTAATATGAATAACTTGTCAACTAGTGCTTGTGCCTCTGGCGGGTATGCTGCAATAGTTAAAACTACAAAATATTGTTACGAGTTATGGCCAATACTGACTATATAAGCAGTGATTTCTACGTGTATATACATTACATTGAACTTCTCTGAAACTACCTATACGCTATAGGGCTCGGGTTTATTGATGTGAGATGGGTCTTGATCAATGGAGGAACAATTTCATCATTTCTGTTCAATATGTTGTGTAAGATATATCATAATTTTTTTTTTTAAAGATTATATTTCCGTGCGCATACTTCTAATTTATCTTCTTTCTTAAGTAACTGTTTTGAGATTGTGTAAAGCCCCGTTGTGATGCCTAGATCTTGATATTATTAGGTCCTCTCTCCACTCAGCTTCCTCATCTAAAGGTGGCAGACTATTCCATCTGCCTACAGTATATGGTTATCACCATGATGAGGTGCAGAATGAAGTGAAACTGTGAAAGCAACCTCTTCTTGTTGGTCTTGGATTCAGTTTAAACTACCTGCCCTTTGTTGAATTTCTCAAATTTGCATCTAGAAATCTTCACGTTACACACACACAAAATGTTATATAAAGATGTGTTTTCTTTGGTAACCGTGGGTGTCTGGGCCTGCTTGTGGCACCTCTACTAATCCCACGGGGCCCTGAGGAGACTCGAACTGGCGACCTACAGGGAGGAGCCCCAAGGCCTAGCCTTTATTTGCCGGTTAAGTGGAGCTTTGGGTGACTTTCTAGTACTTAAATCACTTAAGTTCGGGATTAAGCAAGCACAGTAAAGGGTTAATTTTTCTAAATTTTCAAATTATGTAAAATATATGACAATTAAGGTTTTGTTACTATATTAGTTCAATACCCTTGTCCAAATGAATAATTTCATTGTTCCATTGGTACCACAAGTTTGGAAAAGATTGAAATGATGAACACAAATTGATAAAATAAACTTTAATCCTGCTAGGTCATCAAAACACTTGACTATTCAACAATTAGTTGGTTGATGAAGCTTTAATGCCTCGGCAATTGAGTAAGTAGCTCTAACCGATATGTGGCCGCTTAAACAATTTGAATATAAACCCAGGGTTCAAAGTGAAATCAAGGTTTTGTATACCCAATATACACAGCTTGTTCTCTCTTTCTTTACTTTTGATAACTGTGGGGGGCTGCAGTTAACATTTTTAGAACATCTCCAGTGGCCTTTACAGCTCTTTCACTTTTGAAGTTATAAATTCAGATGCTTTCTGTTAATTTGGGAGTGCAGGCGCTTGACACCTTCAACACGGCTGTTGTCTCTCCAATATACTATGTTATGTTCACAACTCTTACTATCTTGGCAAGTGTCATCATGTTCAAGGTATAATCTTTGTTTTTGTTTTTGCTTTTGCTTTTCTGTTCCTCTGGGTCTTCTGCATCAATTCTTGGTTTGTTTTTTCTCTACTTCAGGATTGGGATGGGCAAGATCCGACCCAAATCATAACGGAACTTTGTGGGTTTGTGACCATCCTTTCTGGAACCTTTCTTCTTCATAAAACCAAAGACATGGCTGACGGTATGCTTCCCCTTTCATTTCCAATGATAATGTGAACTCAGCTTCTATAAATAATTTTAGCAAATCATTTTTAACATCATCAACTACAGGTTCCATACGATTTTCCAAGCACATGGACGAGGAAGAAGGCATCCCGTTGAGACGACATGATTCCAGTAATCTGAGGTTGCCATAATGTTTTTCCTTTTCTTAGTAGAAAACCACACTACTATTGGTGTTTTTCATTACTTAGCTAGGCCCAATCAAATCAACTTTCTTCGGTTATACAAACTTGTGCTGCCTCCTTTCCGTTATGTATTTTTTTGAGGTTGCTGAGTGATGTTGCGATTAGTTTCAAAGGTTGTATCACGTCGTCTTGATATGTATAAACCATCAAGTTTATCGAATGGTGGGCTACTTTTCACCTTGTGTATTGGTATATTTATGGGAGAAGAACACTTGATTGTTCTTTTTGTTCAACTTTTGCTTTCATCAAGACGATAAGATACGACTTTCAAGGAGTTTCTGCAACAAGGTCTTGGATTCAAACCTCTTTGATGATTGTAGGACGAGTACGGTGGGATACTTTGTAAATGAAGTTGATTAGATTTGGATGGATATTACGATGAATCCTTGATTGCACTTTGTTGTTGAATTTGCATCTTAAAAAATTTCTGTATTGGTTAAAACTTAACAAGAAATACTATAAATAGAATTCTATTGGTGTCAAATATGTAGCAAAATTGGAAACTCTTGTTATGTTTATTTGGGTTGGGTTGGAAGGTTTCAGAATGTTTAAACAACCCAACCCAATAGTTTATATCAATCAGTTGCAGGTTACCTCATATTGAGTTTTTCGGGTCGGGTCAGGTTGGGTTGGATCAAGTCAAGTGGAATTTGGGTTTTTGTGCATCTCTAGTAGCTTAACCAATAAGACCCCAAGTCAAGTCCCCACAAGGTTGTTCGTTTGATTGCTTAACTTCTTGTCTATAAGATCAGTGGAGATGCATGTAAGTGATCTGATCACCCATGTCTTGTAAAATATATATATACATAGGGAAATGTTCAAACGAGAACACCTTCATTTTACGAGAATGCGAGAATACATTTTTACTTTAGACAATCACATATGATACTAAATCAGAGACGCAGGTAATTTTCGATGCGATCTTGGTTGCGGGCCAAGTCTCCCTTACACCACTAAGCCCCCTTACAAGTATTATCACATGTGATAAGAGTGTTGTTGATATGATACTACAATCCATTAAGACCATCACATGTGATGCTAAATCATATACGCAGACAACCTTTGGCACAACCTAAGTCATAGAACACGTCGTCCACACATCACAGGGTCCCCTCACACGTATTATCACATGTGATAAGAATATTCTCGTGTTTTAGTTAAACGGATGTGTTCTCGTTTGAACCTCCACCTATATATATACATACATAATCTATACATCTAATAAGTAAGTAACTTGTGTGACACGTGTCATCTTCTGGTGAGTCGGTTATCTTATTTTCCCGCCTAAAGATGTATCTAAACACAATTTACATTAGTGGTTCAATTAGACTCATTTGAACATATCTAGACACAATTTACATTAACAGTTTAATTATATTCATTTGATTGACATGTGTCCCCTTATTCGATTAATCCTACTAATTTAGAATGCAATTAATTTTATTCTTTGGTTAATTAATTCATGTGATAACTGATTCCCGAAAAAAATTTGTGTTTACTTTTAAGTTTAAATTCAATTTACTGATATAGTTTCATTTCTAAATTCAATTTTATTCTAGAGTTAACTTCATTTTATTCTAAAATTCAATTTACTGGAAAGTTTTACTTCAGAGTTATTTCAAGAGAACAAGTCTGAAGTCATTCTTAAGAGTTAACTCACCCGAACTCTGAAGTTTGCTTTTTCAGACATAACTTACCTGAACCTGGAGTCTGAGCTCTGAAATCTTCTTTTTCAGACTTAAGAAAAGAAGTCTGAAGTCTTCTTTTTCAGACTTAGAAGTCTGAACTTTGAAGTCTTCTACAATTCTGAAAAGTACAAGTCTGAAAAGTCATTCTTCAGAGTTAGCTCCCTCAAACTCTGTAGTCTTCTTTTCCAAACGGGCAGGGGCATTCCAATCTTTTTGGAGGCCCTACTACATCCAAAACTTTTGATTACATTGCATAAATGAGATAACATAGAATATATGTTAAGAACAAAACTGGGCTAAACCTAAAACGATTGACAATCTGAAACTAAACTTAAACCATTAATGATTTGTACCTAAACCAAACAATTAATGGTTTGAACTTAAATAACTTCAGATGTAGTTTTACACATGTCGATAAAAGACCCTAAACACATGTAAATTTGGGCCCCAAAATTTCGGGGGTCCTTTTCAAAATCTCATATTTAACATGCTAAGGTACGACCCTGCAAACGGGCACCAGAGCCTCTGCATAATGCATGCAGAGCTTCTGGCTTGCCTATATAGAGCTTTGAAGTCTGAAGAGTTTTTCTTCAAAGTAATTTCAAGAGTACAAGTCTTGTAATAAACCTATCTAGACTTTGAAGATAAGTCTTTAAGACTTAGACTTAGTCTTGTAAGCAAGAGCTCCTCTTTGAATCCTGGATGTCTTTGCTTCTGTTGTTTATTTGAACCTTGGAAAAATATTTCAATCCATTATAAAGAAACCAGAGGGGCTCTGGTTGATCTTCATGTTTAACCAGAGGGTCTCTGGTTGTATTTGAAACTCAAATTCTTTGAGTATTTAACATTTTTTTAACCCAGAGGCTTTGGATAGATGAACCGGAGGCTATGGTTGACCAGAGGGCCTTTAGTTGGCCTTGCTTTTGGTTGGTGAGTCCACAGAGGCTCTGGTTGGTCTTGCTCTGTATGATGCAAACTTTACTATGAGGTCCTTTTCAAAGATATTGGGTATTTGAATAACTATGAACTCAAGGTCTTCAGATTTGACACAGATGCTCTTCTAAGTTTAAATTCAACTTACTGATATAGTCTCATTTCTAAATTTAGTTTAATTTTAGGGTTAACTTCATTTTAACTAATTATTGATATAGTTTCATTTCTAAATTCAAGTATGAAGAGTTATACTTCAGAGTTATTTTAAGAGTACAAGTCTAAAGTAGCATCGTACTTTCGATGATCATTCATATCTGTAAGATAAGTTCCTGACATGATTTATTTTTTCAAATTATCTCGTGTAATATACGGGATCGAACCTAGTATATACATATACATATAGACTTGGGATCATGTGAGACCAATAGTTTTTCGTGAGACCCGTAAGACCAATTCTCAACCCTTGGATTAGATCTACAATCGTTAGATCTGAACATTCATAAACGCCACGAGACTTCTCAATAATTACAAAATTGTCACCGTGCAACTTTAGACCATTAGATCATATGCTTATAAAGTTGATCAAAATTGGTCTTACGGGTCTCACGAAAAACCTTTGGTCTCATGTGAATCCAACCCTATATATATATATTCTACAAGCAAATCTCCCTAACATCTTAGAACACTCTAGGACATTATAAAGTAGTCTAGAACTTATGGGTTGGAGCTTCTACAAAGGGGGAACATTCCTCAAGTGTCAATTTGCATGTAAGTTAATCGATTTTAAATTATATTTCATCTTTAATGGTAAAATTAACAAAAAAAATGAGTCAAACAAACTGGAAGTCACCTAAGAGTGTTTTCAAATACATACAATCCTTTGCAAGTTATTAGAATCGGTTTGCTAGTTTGGTTTTGTAAGGATTAGAGATGAACATTTGGATGAAATCTGCTAGGCTCGTTTATCAAACACTTATCCGGTAAGTGTCTACGGGTAAAATTTAACACTATCATTTACTTATATGATAAGATCTTAATCCACCAAAACGTATCGTATGCAACAATTTACCCGGTAAACGCTTACTGCGGTAAGAGTCGTCTCCCTCACTTACTGAGTAAGACTCTTGGTCCTTACTATATTCATTCGGTAAGATTACATGACTTGATGTTCACTTACTCGAATAAGCGTTTGGTAAACGGCTCCTTAGATTAGATTCAATTTGGTAAAGTTGGAGTGTCGGTTTTTCCTTAGACCAGATTTTTTGAGTATTTTCTCGGATCAAAAAAGATCTAGACCATTATTTTCCCAGATCGGATAAAGGCTTTTAGTTTTTTTAAACCATTAATCTCTTTTTTCTCATTTTATTAGACGGACAAGATCAAAAGGAACATATTGGACTTTTTTCATCCAGGCTCAATCTAGGTCCAGACTTTACTTTGCTAGATCCAGACAGGTCTACCTTTTATCATATTTTGGCAGACTCTAGTAAAGACGATGATTGACGGGAACCAAAGAAGCGATCACATCATGAAAGATTTAAGGATCCAAAAGTCGCTTGAGCCTTGACACCACAATGTGCTGGACATGGGCGGTGTTGGCGAGCATATTGCTTCGACTTGAGCAAGGGAGTGACCAGATGATAAAAGCAAACACTAAGGGTCGTTTATCAAATGCTTACCCAGATGAACATGTCAAGAGCCGATAATCTTACCATGTAAGAGCGATGACAAGGACTGAGAGTCTTATGCAGTAAGTGAGAGTGACGACTCTTACCCGGTTAGTACTTACCGGGTAAATTGTTGCATACGATGGCGTTTCCATGACTAAAATCTTACACGTAAGTGGTAATGTTAAATCTTACAATCAAATAAATAACTGGAATAGAATATTTTAAATTATTAAAAAATCTTATCTCACACTTAAATTATTTCCAAATATCATTAAAACTTTGAATTTAAAACAATTTCTAATTAAATTATATACCCACGTAATTACCAAAGAAACAAATGAAGTAAAAAATCTGTAGGGACTAAACCTGTTACAAGTGGTATAGTACAGGGACCAAACAGGAAATATTTGGGATATAAAAGCAAATCTGCGGGATGAACCAATTGTCGTCTCTCTCACACGCATAATGGAAAACTTGATGAGGAGTTACCGTACAAAAGTAAAGCAAGCATCGGTGCTGTGGCTTGAAGGTTTTCGACAAGCTTGTTGTCTTCACAGAGTTGTCATCTACTGTCTCAGGTTTTGTTTATATTAGTTTTATACTTTTATGCTACTTGCTTCTTCAATTTCGACTTTAATTTGTTTTTGTTTGCGTCTGAAGGTCGAAACAACTCATGATCCGAACTGGCCAGTGCTTTCTCTTAAACGGTTTCATCTTTTTAGGAAGGTAATCAATCTGTACTGGTGTTTTAAATTTGTTTTTGGCGAGGATATTGTAAAATTGGGAAGTCAAAAGATCCCACCTCTCTTCTGAAAAGAGTTTCAATTTGATTTAAGGTTTTAACTTCAAAAATTGACTAAGGATTATTTTGTATATGTCGATTAACTTGATAGCTATATCTAATTATACTAGAAGCATTAGAATGATATGGAAATCTATGGGAAACTTGATTTATATAAAGTAATTGGTTTGAATCTTTAAAATCAAGAGTGCCCTTTCAAGTGATTTAGAGTTGAGTTTAAGGTATAACTTTGTAATGCAACATGGTTCCCAATCCCATGGCCTGTGCCACCAATAATTGAAAATAAAATATTTCTCTATTAGTTTCTTGAAGTATATATATGTTGAACTTAATTGCAAGTTGTCATTTGTACGAACTACTACCTTGTAGAGTGACCTCAATTTGTGTTACTTGCAGTATTTTTATTCTAAGATCTCTTATCCTTCCAACACTACAATGGATCTTACCTTTTGGAGTCTCGGATGGTTATCAAGAGCCATGCTTACCGCAGATGCCTATAAGACTGTATGCCTTCTTACGACTTGGACTCTTACAACTTATTTATGTGAGTATACAATAGGAAGGTTGTTTAAGTTTGTGTGCATTTATCTTTAAAACATCTTTTGTCAGAAGATACCCATGCTAACAATCATTGAGAGTTCACATGTTGCCTACAATCTTATGGTGCCAAAAAATTTTTGTGCTCAAATCTCTTGAAGTTATTTGCATATTGTGTAGTATATTCATTTATAGTTACACAATTTGTTTTGTATGTCTGTATGTGAGGTAAACATATCAAAGTTGGTTTTTGGTAACTTACTAAAATTTTCAATCTAATCGAAATCCACCAAATCCACCTTTTTTTACTGTGTTATTTATGTCATATTTTTACTCAAATTTACTGCAATCCAGTTTAAATGTTAAACGTGTAAACACCAAGTAACAACAATTCATTTCAGTCTTATATCTTATCAAGTCTACTAGCAAGCACTGTTTCCTTCTTTTTTTCTTCCAAAGTTGATTCCCGGCATTCTCTACTTATCAAACAAACCCTTCTGCTAATGATATTGAAATATATGCTAGAGCTAATGTTCTCTATTAACACCATGCTTCAGCTTTGACACTTACCAGTACGTGTTATACAGACTTACAGTATTAATATCAATTAGAATTTAGCATATACTTACTCAATGCCCCAAATTGCTGTAACTTGTGTAGTCCTGTAAAGGTAAGACAGAGTGCATTAGACCCTTCCTAGCCTTGCCAATGGTGGAATCCTTGAGCACTTTGCTTAGTGGCTGACAAATTATCAAACTACCAAAGGGTCATTGGCCCAGCGGCCCCAGCGGTATCTGGGTTACCGGTAGAGCTCAGCCTCCTAGGAGGTCAAGGGTTCCAAGTTCAAACCTCACCAAAGTGAGGAGTGTGCATGAGTAAAGCTGAGTGATACATTGACATGAAAATTAGAAGCAAAAGAAAAGCTTAAAATTGAAGCTATGTATTCTAGTTAAATTGCTGAGCAGTTTGTTGCATAAAGAAATAAGCTTTTCCATCTTTTGTTGGATGGAAACAAAACAACCTTTGAAGATGGGACAAAATATGATCTTGAGTCTCTGACAGTTGCAGATTTTCCTCTCTCCTAAAATATATAGTTCAAGTAAGTTATATCAAGGAAATGAAGTAGGATAATCTAGATCTGATTCTGAATCCCAGAAAGGATGTTTTTTTAGTTAAACTCCCAAAAGCTCAAGCTTGATTTCCATAATTAAACCCTTGATGCTAGGATAGCAAGTGTAGGGATATGGATATACCATTTAGGATATGTAGACTTGGAAAATCCAAAAATCAGGAGTTTGGGTTGAGGTGCTGCCACACACATACAGTGCACAAAAAGATCAGAGATTGTATACCAAGAGTGGGCCAGTTCTACAGGTTCTTGAGCCTAAGCATTCACCATAAAAAACACTATTGTAAATTTGTAATACAGTTCTATGGCTTGGATGGAAAACATTTTAAAGATGAGGGTAAAGAGCATTAAACATATCTAAAGCTGCAAAAAAATAAATGGACAGAATCACAGAAATGGTAATGCTTGAATTTGAAGAACAAAATACTCATTAAAAAGAATTAAAGACAAAGTACGAGAGTTTCAAAAAGAAACTTTAACATCCACTAAATGCAAGAAATAGCTCTCCCTCTTATATTCACAAGGGAGCATGGTACATAAAAGGCAATGCCCAACCAAAAAGTGCAAGAGTTATGACTAATGTGTAAATACTCAATTACAAAAGACATGCTTTTAATATCTGAATGAACAAGTACTACTTGCTAGCCATTGAAAGAACTTTCTTCTGCTAGTCATCAAGCTATACAGACGTGGGACACAATCTTCAACAGTCCACTTCAATCATTTCAGCCTTCTTACCTCAACAACACCTGATGGAATCTTGTTCTGGGGATGCTATAGCAATCGGCCAAAAGTAAACCAAAAACTTTCCAGAATCAGCATAAGAGTGCATTGAATGAATCCAAATCGATTTTCTAGCTCCATAACAAGAAAGATGTAAAGTAAGAAAATAATAAGCAGGTTTGAGAAATAAAGACAAAGAGAAAACAAGGGAAAATGGTGCTATAGCATCATTTGGCTTGACACTTATCATTGTGCTTGTCCTTTACACGCTGATCATGCCTGGAGAAATGAACATAGTAATGCTAGATAATTCTAAAGTTTAACAGAAGCCTAGAGATCCCTTTTGACGATGAATATGAAATCCCTTAGTGATTGATCACAAACACATGTTTAACTGCATTAGTGATTACCTATACACATTGATCTCTCTTATAGCTGATTTTTGGGAGATCTGTTATTCCAATGCAAAGAAAACTTGCTTATGTTCTAATACTCCATAATTGGTTGTGAATTCATAATCCGTTTCTCTTCCTTCATTAGTTTATGATGCATACTTTTTTGTTATTTTCCATGGACTTATTTTCCTTCTGAAACTGAAAACATTTGGTTGTTTATGTGTCTTGTAATGAACTATTAGCAGTACTTATTAGTTCATGTGATTTTTGTTTCTTGACAGGCTTTATGGTTCTACCCTTTGTACATATTCAGCTTCATTTTAAGCACTATCTGGTACATTTCTTTTCTTCGCATCAGATACTTTTGTTGCTTCTAGTAACTTGCTTGCTTATAATTTGCTATAGGCAAACCCCCTTTTTTCACAATGGACTATGGCCGTTATCAACTAAAATGATATGCATCAATTGACTTATTCAATTAAAAGACATACAAATGTTCCAACCCTCGAGACATATTATGTAAAAAATACACTGATTTGTCAGTTTTTTGCCACATGCCCTCCTTGACAGCAAATATAACATGCTCACTTCTCAGTTTCTGCCTCCGTAACATTCTTGTCAGCAAATATATAGTTTTGTGGTGTGTAAATCTTTCTAAATTGTATGTGACAACCCTTCTTTTTTTGGATCAAGTAGAAGGGAAATCTATATCACATATTTTGCTGTGTAAGATAGTATTCCTTGATAAGAGCTGACTTTCAGTATGTAATTTATTTAGGTACAATGATATTGCTCAGTTTGGTCTTACGGTGACAGGAAAAGATGGATCAACCAATTTAGCTCCATCTAGCCAAAAGGAGCCATCCACTTCACAAAATGCAACACATGTTGATAAACCAACTGACCTTGGGAGGTATTGCTATATACTTCAGAATATCTTGTTGGCAGAAGTAATTTATTTGGCACATTGTTAATTTAGTTGCTATAACATCATATTTCTGCAGAGTCATGATAGGAATAGCAGAACAGGGCTATTCACTCCTCCTATTGACCTTTTTCTTCCTGGAGGTATATATATTTTCATATATCATGTTAGAGCATCTCCAACAGATTCTATAAAATTAAAAAAAAATTAGAGACTTTGGCTTCAACATATTCTCTAAATAGTTCTCTAAACCAGAGAAAAGAAGAGAGAAGATAAAATTCTCTAAATTTATAGAAATTCTTTAAAATTTAATGTGAGGGGAGAGAAATGATTTTTAATTCTTTCCCACCAATGAGATTGAATGTATTATCATTATATTATATAAAGTTCTTTTAAAAGTGTCTTGTGATGATATTTTATTAATATAATTAATGTTGAAATCTCCAAAATAGAGTATCTGTTGGAGTTCAATGCAATTTTCATTAGAGGTTTTAACTTTTAGTTCTCTATTTTCTCAAAATTATAGAGAATCTGTTGGAGATGTTGGTAATTTGTACTGAAAATAACAGTCGGTTGTATTCTGGGATTGTAACAGGTTTACCTGACAGGTTTCATCCCTTACATTGGGAAGACACTAAATTTCATACTTCTTTCATGGATGTATGCCTATTACTGCTTTGAGTATGTGGTGACGACATGGCTGCCATTTCTTATTTTGTTACTACTATTGTTATTTTGCCGCATGACTTCTCATTGCACATTTTCACTTTTCACAGATACAAATGGAACTTCTCCGGTCTGAGTTTGGATAAAAGGCTAGACTTCTTTGAGTCCAACTGGGCATTCTTTGCTGGCTTTGGTAACTTCTCTTTCTCAATTGTGTTTGGCTGAATGTCAGTTGTTTTAATGCATCAGTTATTTTCATTTTCAGCCATGTGAAACCTCTAACCAAAGAGAAATTGAAAATTTTCAAAGAAAGTTATCTCAATCACACTCCCCCTGTTCATGAAGTTTTTGTCCACAGGTTCCGTGAGTCTCTTTATCTAAATGTAATGCTCCCTCCTACCAAAATAGATGTAATATTTCCTTTTTTGGCAAGATTTAAAGCCATTGGTTACCTATTTGTTCATGTAATTACAAATTAGTCCATTTGATTCCTCTAATTTGTCATCATTTAGGATACTTTAGATATTTGACTACATGTACACAATTCAACCTTGCATTTATTTTTGGAAGGAGGGACAATAATGCTATTTATGGGATATGTCATAAATTGTGCACCATAATTATTGATTGGGAGAAGGCACCAACCTCTGAATATAATCCTTAATGAGCATGATAATATATCTGTATGGTATGTAGCATTTCCTTGTTCCTTTGTGATTAGAGATGTGACGGTGTTATTATCAACAATGTCCTTTCAGGATCTCCTTGTGTTCTGGCTATTTTCTTCTTTTCACCTTTAGTGAGTTATGGGGTAATGGCTGTACTCTTTCCAATGGTAAATACTCCACCCTTTCTATATCTCTATGTTTTCAGCATTTATAAATGCATTTATGTACTTACAATGGGATTAGCTACTACTACTAAATGAGAAAGAAGATCTTTTAAATTTGTTAGATTGTGACATAGGATCTGATCAATAATATAAACCACACGAAACTAGCTATATCCAACCTGAAGGTGAGGTCTGGGGTATGATGTACGTAGACCTGACCTCTACCCCAAAGGGTAGAGTGGTTGTTTCCCAAAGAATCCCAGCTTGTGAAAAAGTGTGTGTCAGAGAGGAAGTTAGCTAAAAAGTTTGAAAAAAAGGATTTAAGGCAAGAAAGACATACGATTTTTTTAAAAGCTAGTTATGAGTAAGAAACAACTTACAAACTGGTGCTACATCATAGGCACATTGGGAGCGGAGATAATTGTAACCATATACATATAAAATGACAGCAATGGAATGCCAATCCCCGGGTTTTATAAACAGAAGCATGAAGAAGAAAAGACTATTGGGTTACGGGATCTTTTGCACAGCGTAACCTTGACCAGATCCATATGAAACAAAGTAGTTTGGTTGTTGTCAAGGGAAGGAAACTATGCAACCTAATGTAACTTAGGGCTCTGAAATATTATAATGGCACTAATAGTTTGTGTTTCAGTTTGTCCTGACTGCAGCAGGCTCAGATGCCGACAGTGTCGTCAACTCTTACAAAACGAAATGGAGCAGTCAAGAATTGAGAAAGCTTCCTATATTTTATGCTGCGGATAAGTTATTGTAAGCAATCTACTTAATCTTTTTTCAGTTTTGCCATATAAATCGACAATTTCACTGGAATCTTGTTATTGATAAATGATAGCCTTTTTTATTTGCTAAATGTTTTTTTTTGAAATATATAATATTTATATACGGCAAATAGGACAAATAAACTCACACATCCTCCTCACCTTTGGTGAGGTTTGAACCCCTGACCTCCTAGGAGGCCAAAGACTCACATACTGCTAGGCCAAAGGCCCTTTGGTTCTTTGTTAAATGTTTGTTTTTAAAAGGTAACCAAATCATTCGTCCAGAATTACAAAGATGTTGCAGTAGAGCTCGTCTACCGGTGGCAAAAATCTGCTCTGCTTTTCTAGACACCCAGATTTTACTATTCTAGGTTCTGTTTTTGTTTAATCAGCTTAATTACTTATTCATTTAGTTATTTAACAGTGTTTGTTTTTGCTTAATTTTTAAACTATGGCTGGAAAGAGCTGAATTAGATAAGCCATCATATTTCTGGTGTTCACATTAAGCCATTTTATTCAAGGAAAAACTTAATAGGAAAAAACCAGCCCCTTAGGTATCATTGCATGCATCATTACCAATATCTTAGGCAGAAATTTTATGTCTTCAATAATCATTCTCTATAGGATGCGGATTTTATCTCTTCTTCCTGTGGAACCTTCTGCGCAAGCATCCGACAAGAAATCACTCTGAGACTAACGATCTGATCCTTCAAACTTGAATATTTATTGTGTGTTACCATCCATAGAAAGATCACTTCGTCTTATGGCTGCACTCAATTAGTCTTGGATCGATTAGCTTGTGTGTTGTCCCAGCAGATAGGAACATGGTATTCTCACAACAGGGAAAAGGTTCGACTCATTGGTATGATTGACTTTACTGCAAAAGAAGGGGGTGCATTTAGAAGGTCAACTATTGCCTATACCGGACGGGTGAACACAAAAACATCATGTTTTTGTTGAAAGGAAGGTAAAGGTATGTTCCCTTTTCGTTATCGTTCAGGTTTCCATGAATGAAATTAGAAAGTGAATTGACAGATTACATTGTTATTTAGCTGCTTGAAGATTTGAAAGACCACATTGTGCTTTCTTGTCATGTTTCTTTTTCTTTTATGCAAGCCGGGGGTCATCTCGGAAACAGTCTTTCTGTCTCGTGGGACAGAGTTAAGGTCTGAGTATTATATGTTATCACTCCGGACACTACCTTTGGGTGGGATATATTGGGTCTGTCTGGTTTATGTATTTCAGATAGAGTTGCTTCTTGGTTTCTTTATTTACATTGTGATCTTGCTGAAATCAGCAATGTACAACTTTTACTGCATAAGGTACAAGTCATTATTAGCATTCCTGCTTGGTTATTACTCATGGAAACTAAATTACCTCTTTACACTACATGTTGTACAAGCCATTCTTGCATTTTTGTTTATAAATGCTAATAAAAACCCGATCCCTTGTTCTTGACCCTGCCGTCATTGCCATTTAGAACCTTGGATTCATCTGTATAGTGGTAGATGTGAGCGTGGTTAGATAAAGATAAGATTATGATATTTTTCAAAGATAAACGACGACATCTTCGTCCAAACGTCTTTTCACTCGACAATGATGCTAGTCAAATCAAGCATTCGGTGTATGTTTGTCTCGAATCTAAATGATTGCATCGTAGTCCAAACATCTTTTTGTCGTCATTCTCACTAGATAACAACTAACATGCTAGTCAAATCAGTCATTCGACGAATATTTGTTTGTTTATGGTACAACTCTCTCATAAGATACAACATTTATATTGCATTCGTTAGTGGGATATTTTATTTTACAAATAATATTATATCTTTATAAGTTTCTCTTAGAAACCGTTGAAATGTGCATTGGAAAAAAAATATCCATGGTATATTGATCCTCATAATTCCTTAGCTATGTCTAGGCTCCATCGGGCTCTTTGGAGGTGATCTAATTAGTCGGGGTTCAAATAAACAAAATACCAGTTGCGTAGTCCAGTACTGAAGCAGAATATAGATCGTTAGCTCAAGTTTGCGCACAAGTGATTAAGCTATGATCTTACATTTTCTTGAAATATTTATCTGATATCTTTTGGATGTATTCTAGTTTTGTGAACTGTTAAGGTGGTCGAAGTAAGATATATTCCAACAAAAAGGAAGTCGTTAGAAAGTCGTTGTCCATCTCAACTTTGCACTACTTGAATAAGATGTCTGTGTTGCTGTACACAAGTTGAAATGGCGTGTTGAAACAAAGGGACTGGGATGCAGATCAACGAGAATGACGATAATAATAATAATAATAATAATAATAATAATAAATAATCAAGAATGGTTGTAAATATTCTCTGAATTATATCATGAGCGAATGCAGATTTTGGTGACCACTTCATTGTACGATGTGGTCCCAAATAGAATCATTTCTAGTATTAATTAACCAATAAGTTTTTCTTGTCATATTATGTAACAACTCTTCTTTATAAATTGCAGTCTTAATATATATATATATATATATATATATATATATATATATATATATATATGTAGACTTGGGATCATATGAGACCAAAGGTTTTTCGTGAGACCCGTAAAGACAAATTCTCAACCTTTGAATTAGATCTACAATCTGAACATTCATAATCACAAAATTGCTACGAGACTTCTCAATAATCACAAAATTACCGCCGTGCAACTTTAGACCATTAGATCATTAACTTATAAAGTTGATCAATGAACATAAATTGGTCTTATGGGTCTCACGAGAACCCAATCCTATATATATATATATATATGTATATGTTTGTATATATATATATATATATATATATATATATATATATATATATATGTTGATAAATGAACACCCAAAAAACATGTAACTGTTAAAATATATTTAAGAGCGTTGAAATAGGGATCCATTTGGATGCATGAATTATGATAAAAGAAGTCAAAATCTAATGATGACTAGAAATGATTTTCCAACAACCCATTGAAATTAATGACTCTAGATATTATGTTGAGTAAACTATAAATTTTGTCATAGTTTCTTTACAAACTAAAGACTCTTCCTCTAAATCGTTAAACCGCGGTTTAGAGTTTTAAGGTTCGGTTTACGGCTTGCAATTTTACCAAACTGAACTATGCGGTGTGGATTGCGGTTTTGAGTTATTGAATCGTGGTTCAAACCGCAATGCCACCGCATATTTTGTACATTTTTTAATTTTATATAATACACACACACACACATATATATATATATGTATATATATATATATAGACATTTATTATTTATGTAATATTTTTAGACTTTGTGTTTTGGACTTTGAATTTGATCTAATATAACAATTGACGATATTAATAAATGAGTTAGACATGTCGCAACTCACACGTTCAATTTAGTTTGAAGTTTATTTTTTTATTTCTTAGACTATTTTTAATTATGTAATATGTATTTAGAAATTAGATGTATTGGAACTCTTTATTTTTTCGGATCATGGTCACTTTTTCGTCAATTTTATAATGTACACTTATAATTATTAGATTATAGGCATAAAGTGTGATTAGTGCAAACCGCATAAGCCGCACCACAACATACGATGTGGTTTGGTGCAGTTTGCAGTTTATGCGATGCGGTTTGCATCTGGGAAAAGTTCAAACCGCATATGCGGTGCGGTTTTGTCTCAAACAACACCGTGAACGCCCCTAGCAAAAATGTCTGTATTTGACCCCTCTCTCTAACGGTTGTTAAAATTTTTGTTAAATGAGGGGCATTTTCATTTTTAATGGATTTTTTTTTCTCTTATCCAATCAAAATTGGTTTTATGATTTTGATCATTATAGTTTTTTATCGGGTAAAAGATATAAAAATCAATAAGAAGATAAAAATACCCTTATTTAATGGAATTTTTAACGATTGTAAAGGGAAGAGATCAAATCTGAATATTTTTACAAACCACAATAGTTATTTTATAATTATAAAATTGTAGGGAAGAAAAGTGTTCTTTTTAACAAACCATATGGATCAAATTTGAAGTTTACTTTATTTCATATATATATATATATATATATATATATATAGAGAGAGAGAGAGAGAGAGAGAGAGAGAGAGAGAGAGAGAGGGAGAGGGAGAGAGAATGAGGTGAATTATTATACAACCTTTTACATTTGTACAATCAATATAAATCAATCTCAACCGTCCATTTAATTTGATGAATATGTGATTTCATAAAGCTTTTGATTGTTTTCTAATATAAGGTATTGATCATAATTAGTGAACTTTAATCATCTTTCATAAATATTAAAATCATAATAAATGAACTTTCATCATTTCTATAAATATCTCAATTAATTAGGTTACATTGGTTATACAGATAAATATGGTTGCATTTGAAATATACCCTATATATATATATATATATATATGATTGGGTTTTATTTTATAAAAGATATGATGGAAATTTGCAAGTTGTAAAGGTGTTTTAAGACTATATTATATAACGTGGGCCACCAAATTAATTTCTAAGAAACTATGAATTAGATTTTAAATGGAAGGAGAAAATGACTCCACTTGGTCAACAAAGTTTGACTGGTGATGATACTAAGCTTAAAGTTTGAATATTTATATCTCATGTTAATTAATGGTAGTCCAATAATAATATAACCATAAAAGAGAGTGAAGCATTAAATGTGGAAACACAGGGAAATATATTGACCCAATTAGTACTGTTTTGATTTGTCTGTAAAATGTACTGTTATAGGTTTCATTAGATCTTATCAAACAAAGTACACATGTAATTGATGGATCTACGTTCGTTTATAGACTTACTCAATCATCAATTCAGCATTATGATTACAAAAAGAAACTAATCAAGATTGAACCGTTGTTTTCAACATCTTATAATAAAGAGTAAACTGCAATTTTGGTCCTTGATGTTTAGTGAAAACTTTGAAAGCGGTACCTAACCTATACAAAAATCTTGAAGTTATCCTTGTTTGCATTTTGCTCTAGAGCTGGTTCTTCACACTAACTTCATTAGTTGGAGTGCTGTTAGTTGAGGGGCATTTTGGTCATTTTTTTTATCAAAAAGAATTTAATATACAAGTATATAAAACTTGTGTATAGGTGTGATTAACATTTATAAAATAAAAACCAGATCACGAAAAACCTACACTAAACCAAACTTTTAACTAAATCAAACCCCAAAGTAAATAGTGGATGCGGAATCATGGTACAAAAACGCTACGCCACTTAGTCAACATCTTATGTTTCCTTGATGCATAAAAACACGTTGTCGGTTAAGAACGCACAAACTCCAAAAGGGAAACCGGATTTGGTGGTCGAAGAAGAAGCAACTAGGACGTTTGATTACTTTTCTAATGGAATAAGGCGTCGATCTTGCTTCTTGGCTCCAAATGGACTTTGTGGGCCAGAGTGTTACGTCCTTATGTGTTAGTTTAAAAAGAATAAGAGAATAGTTAAAAGGACAAAAAATATTCCTTGCTTAAAAGATAATTCTTAACGGAGTTAGGGCACCATCTTTAACAAAAATGCAAACCACAAACATGAATTCTAGACTTATTAAAAGTTAGGTACCACTTTTGAAGTTTTTACTAAACTTTATGGACTAAAATTGTAGTTTACCCTAAAATAATTATAACATTTAATTTCATGTACAACTAAATATTTCAAATGTCTCCTAACATAAATAAAATAAAATTTTACGATCTAAACCAAAATTATTTATCTTTTTTTTTATAATAGTTATAAATGAATCAAAATATAAGTTATAGTTAAAAGAATTACCTAAAAGAAAAATGGTGGCATTGGTGTGCAAATCTAAAATATGTGAACGTAAATGAGCCGTCTAATCTCAAAGACCTGTGGTAATGAAGGTTGCGTTTGATATATGAGACAAGATAATATGATATGATAGGATAAGATAAGACAAAACTTACTGTCCCTTTGTCCCATGTTTGGTGCTAAATCCCACTTTTGGTGCGACATGGGATGGGACAACAACTGAGACAAGATGGAACAATGTGGGACCAATTTTTTTTTTGTTCCACCAAAACATGTGGAACAGGATGTGACAAG